GGGGGGGGGGGGGGGGGGGGGGGGGGGGGGGGGGGGGGGGGGGGGGGGGGGGGGGGGGGGGGGGGGGGGGGGGGGGGGGGGGCGTTCATTACATGGGGCGGTCTCTTCCTCAGTTGCAATCTCAGGGAAGGGAGGTTGTGGGGTTCCCTTGTCGTCTGCATGGTCCCTTCTTCACGATCTCTGGAATGGGGGTGGTTTTGCCTCCCCCCCCATTGTCTGTAGGGTCCTTTCCCCTGATGGAATCCTGAGGGAGACGGTTTAGGGTTTCCTTGCTCTTCGGGATTACTCTTCCTCCACTCAAAGATACAGGGAATAATGGGGTAACGTGCCCCTGCAATCTCTTAGGTCCCTTTCCTCTTCAACAGCTCTGGGAAGGGGGGGTTGTGGGAGGGCCCCCAATTCCCTGTGGAGTCTCTTGACCCCTCCCATCCCAAGGAAGGAGGATGTTCGGGGCCCCTCATGGGGTAGAGCCCTTTTTCCCTCCCGTGTCTAGGGAAGGGGGTTGTATGGTTCTCCCATATCTGTGGGGTCACTTCCCTTTCGCAGTCTCTAGGTAGGTGGTTACAAGAGCACCCTGTTATGGGTGTAAGGGCTGGGTGGGCTGATGCTGGAGATCTCCCCAAACCTGTTCGCCTTTTGGGAGGGGAGGCAGGTTCCCTCTCCTTTGGGGTGCTGATTGTGGGGATACCCTTGCTACATGGAGCCTTACTCTTCAAGTTTTGGAATCAGTGCAATTCCTGCCCTGGTAGGGAGGGGAGTTTAGGGGACTCCCTGTCCCCAGCAGCTTAAAGTTCCTTGGGGGTCTGCACTTATCCCAATTCCTCATCTTGGCAAGGGTTTCTTGTCGAGTCACCTGCTGCAAAGGGAAACTGGAGCTGCTGCCCTGTCCTGGCAAAGAGCAGCTGGCAGCTCTCTGTAACTGAAGCAGTGGCCTGATCCAGCCCGTGGCCCAGCACCCTTAGCTGCCTCTCCAAACTTGGCGTGGAGCTGGGAGCCCCATAATGTCAAGCCTTCCCCATCATCCAGCCCTTGCTGTGTACGTGCACCTGGGCTCTGCTTATCTCACCTCTCCTTCTCTGCGTCTCCGTGCTCCCAACCCCTCTAGAACCTTGACGGTGCCTCCCCGTCCTCTTGCTCTTTCTGCTTTTTGTTTCAGCGACAGCTCACTCGGGAGGTATCCGTTTCCAGACTCTATTTGGGGAATGGGCAGAGCCGGGGAGGAGCGGTTGTGTGGAGGCTGCTAAATGTGCTCTCTGGGGGTTTGTGAAGGATTACAGTAGTAGCTAAAGTTGCTGAGGCTGCTGCAGTCTGTCGTTCCTCCCCTCCTGGTATTCCCTGAAATCAATATGGATTTGTTCTCTCGCGTCTCGATCCCTGATGGTTTGGAATTGATTGTAATCTGATGTTCACAATCCTGTCGTGCTCGCTGTGGAGGAGAAAATAACTTTGCTTGGCCCGTATCGCTGTAATTCTTTGCTCTCCTTTTCTAGGTGTGCCCTCTTTCTCCCTGACCTTGCAGGTACGCATTTTTTTTCTCTTCAGCCAAGCTGTGTATTTTCAACTACTTTGCTTTTTCTTGTGAAGGTGACTCCTTTCCTGTCTTTTGCTACCGCTGATTTCCTGTGTCCTTGATTATCTCTTCACTAGCAATCAGCAGCATGGTTGCTTGGAGCGAAGAGTCATGGGTTTAGGTGATGGAGGCTGGGAGTCGTTGTTGTTTCCCTGGCTAAAGGTTAGTGTGGAGTTTTGTATTATAGGTGGTCTCTCTCCTGGCTGTCTCCTGCTTCTTCAAGCCACTGTCTCTGCTGCTCGTGAGTTGGGGGAGAGCTAATTTAGGGAGTTAAAACCAGCAGAAGAGCAATACTGCACAAGTGTTAATATTTTCTTTTGCTTTAGCTGCCTGTATTGACTCAGTGCCAGTGCTGAGGAGGGGGGTGGATTTGCTCCCTTGAGCTACAAGAGCCTGTCAGACCCTCTGGTGTGAAACCAATCTCTGTTCTTTTAACTCTGAATCACCAAAAAGAAAAAAAAAAACAAGCAGGAGATGGAGTGGGGTTGATGTTATCTTTGCTGTAAAGCAGGTAGGTACGAGGCAGCTGTGTCTAATTGGTGCCTAAATTCCAAGCTGAAACAGCTCTTGGCTTTTGTGCAGGACTGCAGCAGTAGGAGTTTTGGAGAAGAGGAGAAATGTCTCACAAAGATGATGTGGGCAGTGCAGGTTGAGTGTGGTAGCCCAGGTGCTGGTTTGAGGCTCTAGAAAGGACCAGACTGGTGCCTGTGGACCTTCTTGTTCCTCTCTCTGCTCTGTTTCTGACACCAAATAGGCCTTTTCTGGGTTTTCTGGCATTTATTTTTCTGGCTGCTGCTGGGATGAGTGTTCAGGAGCTTCTGGTGTGACATGCGATAGGACCAGAGCACTAAATTTATAGCCATGTTGGCCAGGTTGGAATGAGCTGTGCCAGGGCATGTAAGGAAAGATGCAGATGGAGGATTGGGATAGAATCTCCTGTAGTGAGAACCTGTCAGTGCTGCGCTGGGGGAGGAGTGACCAGTGTTGGCTTGATTGCTGCTTGGACCTGCAGAAATCAAGATTTTCCTGACTAACCTCTAGGGCTGTGTCCATGGGGTGTTTTGGGGGTCAAACTGCAGCAAGATGCCCCATGTTTTTGTCATCCTCTGGCCCTGCATGCCACCTGATTGATGCTGGCTTTGGCTTTTTTGAAGCAGAGAGTTGAGCTGGGACTAATCTTACCCTCTTGGTTATGGCTTGCAGAAAGCAGCTCTCACATTCCTCCAGAAATCAGTGATGGGTAAGATTTGCTGCTCTTGCTCATCTAAAGATAATTTTTTCAAAGCTATTGGTAATATTTTTAAGCCACATCAAACTGTTCAGTTATTTCTGGGAGAACTGCTTTCAAATCGTGCTGCTGCCTGACTTGCTGGGCCTTGCTGGGAGCTGAAGGTCAGCCTGGCACGCAGTTGAGATTCAAATCGCAGTTCAGTTCCAGTGCAAGAAATTGTGCAAAGCCTAATGGAATTTAGGTCTTGGGGAGACTGAAACAAACATATTTATAACCTGACTCCCTCCACAACCCCACATTTATTTTATAGGTGTCTCAATTCAGGAGAGATGTAACTTTCTCATGGATAGATGAGTGAGTGGTTTTCATTAAACCAATAAATGGAGTTGACTTAACTTTCTTTTTTTGGCTATAGCCCTAGAGTAATGCATTGTACTCTTTTGTTTTACTGACTTTTGAAAAAGTAAGCAGACTTAAGGGGATAATGCAGCCAAATAGCTGCAGTCCAAAGCTTATTTTGGATTTACAGAACAATAGAGACCTTTTCATTGCCTATTTTTAACTGTATGCATTCCCCTGCAGCGCTGGAAGTACAGCGCAGATTTGTTCTGGCTTGAAATACCCAGGACATGGTGACAAGACAACAGCAAGCCCAAAGCTCTGAAGCAGTACCTATGATTAAAAATTCTTTCAGGATTTTCTAAGCCCCATTTAATGGCCCATGAGAGACCAGTGATTTTTTTTGTTGCTGTTGCTTGTGAGTATTTGGTTATTTGGCATGGGTAAGGATTAATAATATTTGCCTTTCCAGTGGCTTTGTGCCTTGTAAAATGCCCAATAGATTGTCTGCACTGTCACCAGAAAAGCAAAATTGTCTTGTGTACACAGGAGCCAGTCTCCGGTCTGTGCAGTAGAAGCCCTCCTTACTTACATTTTTCTACTCCACTCACAGATTTGTGTTTCTTAACAGCTTTTTATAAAGTTTACCGCCTCTGTCTCAAAGTATGAATTTATCTTTGTGCTAAAAATAATGCTCGTTAAATGAAAAACTGCTTCACTTCTGAAAAATGCGAATGAATGTGGTCTCAGGAGTGGTTTGAGGGGGATACCCGAGTGTAACTGTTCATGTATCCTTACTTGGCTTTAAGCACAGACTAGGTCAACTATAGTTTATGTGCTCTTGATTTTTGCCAGTGGAGAGGGTTCATAAAGCTATTAGGATGTTCTTTTAATTGTGAAACTTTGAGGAGGTGAAGCAGGCAGTTGAGAACACCAGGTGGAAAGCATTGAAACAACCGACCAGCTTGTGCTTTGGTGTGGTGGTAAAGCTTAGCTGCCTTGGACCAGAGATGGTTCAGGCTCTTGGGAAGTCCAAATCAGTTTAAGTTTCTCCCAGAACCTCTGGAGAGGTGAATTTGTCTTTCCAGACTTTGTCAGAGTAGGTCACAGAATCCTTCAGGTTGGAAAAGCCCCTCGGGGTCAGCGAGTCCAACCCTCAGCCCGACTCTACAAAGTTCTCCCCTACCCCACATCCCCCACAGCTCATCCCAACGGCCCTGAAACCCCCCCAGGGATGGGGACTCCCCCCTCCCTGGGCAGCCTGTTCCACTCTCGGACCACTCTTGCTGGGAAACATTTTCTCCTCCTGCCCAGCCTGACCCTCCCCTGGAGCAGTTTCCAGCTGTTCCCCTTGTCCTGTCCCTGATCCCCTGGGAGCAGAGCCCAGCCCCGGCCTCTCTGCAATGTCCTGTCAGGAGCTGCAGAGAGGGATGAGGGCTCCCCTCAGCCTCCTCCTCCTCACCCTGAACACTCCCAGCTCCTTCCCTGGCTCCTCACAGGATTGATTCTCCAGCCCTTCCCCAGCCTCGCTGCCCTCCTCTGCCCTCGCTCCAGCCCCTCCAGATCTCTCTGGGATTGAGGTGCCCAAACCTGGACACAACCCTCCAGGTGTGGCCTCACCAGTGCCGAGCACAGGGGACTGTCACGTCCCTGCTCCTGCTGGTCACACCAGTGCTGATCCAAGCCAGGAGGCCGTTGGCTTTCTTGGCCACCCAGGCACACTGCTGGCTCCTGTTCAGCTGCTTGTCAGAACCCCCAGATCCTTTTCCTCCAGGTACGCTCCCTTCGCTCATGGTACTGTGATTTAGCAGACTTGGCTGAAATAGGATTGTGAGCTTGTGTCTTGTCAGGAGTAAATTTGTATTCTGGGAGAACTGGTAGTGCACTGGTCTGGTGCTTATGGTTTGCAGCTCATCTCGTCAGGCTGTCTGCAGCAGCTCAGATTATGGTTTCTGTAATTAAAACCCTTGTGAAAGCTTTTTCCCAGGTTCCTCTGAGAAGATTTAGGATCACAGAGTAGAAAGTACTTTTTAAAATTTTTTGCTTGTGTTTGTAACCTTTACTTTATTGAAAATCTGGTCTTTATCATAACTAAACTTAAGTCTTGGCCCCTCATGGAAACAAATAGGTGTTGCAGGTATCTTGTACTCACCTTTGGCAAATGGTATAGTCACCTCTTGTGGTAAATCCCCTTATGAAGATTTTTTTCCTTGTTAATAATCTTCATAAAAACAACACGAATTCCTGTGAGCCAGGTTTGATGGGGAACATTTGTGGTTGCTTTGGCTTGGGGGGTTTGTGTTACTTCTTTGCAGAAATACCCTTTTAATGTGTAATGGTCAATTGGTGACATGAGGAGCTGTGGCCTGTCAGGCTTCCTAGGTGTAACCTCATAGGTTACAGCTCTGTGTAAACCTTAAATTCTCCTGCAAGCTTTCACCTGTTGTATCGATGCTTTTCCTGAAAAATTAGTAGCCTGAGTATTGGTGCTAGTGTTTTATTTCTATCTCATTCATCGAATGTTGTACAGATGGCTAACTTCTGGTACGAATAATTACAATCATGTGAATTCATTATTTGATATCACTGTTACATTTTCAGAATTCTTCAAAGTGTGTGTTGTTGGTGTTTAGTTGCTTGAAACCAGATCTGTATTGGTGCAGCAGGTTGGGAGCCCCTCTGGCCTGTTCCCCATTGTGATGGGTGGATCCTTTTGAAGATGTATATTTTCATGGCTTGTTATTTAAAATTAAAATTAGTACCTGTGGTGTTGGTTCATGAAGATAATGCAGTTCTGGAGAGTGAACTGGTTGTAAATTTAAACATATTATGTATGGGGGGAGTTAACTGTATGACAATGTATTTGCCTTTTGTTGTTCTGTGTCCTTGCTGACTAGCTGCTGCATCTTAGAACTTGAAACTTTCTCTAACTCTATCTTTTTCCTTAATGCTATCATAGGAGCTAAAAAAGTAAGTACTCTCTAGTTGTTGTGTGGTTTCTGCACTTTCTGGAAAATCAGGGGAATACAGGTGCTGATCTGATTACTAGGCAGATTATTGCCAGTTTTCTGATTTCCACTGGAAGGAAGTGTACCTTTACAGGTTGGTTTATTGAATTCAGCTGTGCCTCACTGATTCAACAGTCGGTTGATTTGAGAGAACCTCCTGATAATTGGGAGTCCTCGGTAATGCACCTCACCCTTGAAATGAGTGTTGTGGGGGCTGCAACTCCAGGGTTTGAAGCTGTTTTCTTAAGGAATTGAGCAAGATTATCTGTGATTTAAAAAAACCAAACTCACAAAACCTAAAATTTTAGTTTTGTTTTTTGTCAAATCGTCGTGCTCTTTCTACATGAAATATTAATGGCTGTAATGCAAATTAAATATTTAAAGGTGTGATAGTTTGAGCTGTATTGAGTCATGTCCAGGTTTCTTGTTACACTCACTAGAGATTCTTCCTGAAATAGTTTTAAGTTGTAACCTCTGAGTATAACACCACCTGCACTGGGTTAACAAAGTATTCTCAATAAAGGATTTCCTTGAAGTATGATTTTTTAATTTTTTTTTTCCTTGGGATAACTCAAACATGAATTTAGAGCCCAAGCAGAGCATATGAGGCAAATACAGAAATCTGACGTCCTCTTTAGGAGTCCTTATTGACCTGAGTAACCTAAAAATTCAAATGTGTTGTCCTTCCTGTGCGGTTTCAGTTGTGCATTTTGCTTTTCCCGTGGATTTTGTGCTGACAGCTTGCTACTCTAGATCCGGATGGCTGCTATTTTAGAATGTGTGCGCTGCAAAGCAGAGCCTTTGTGCACAACACTTTGAATTTGCATCGTTTAATCCCTTTTCAGTCTGACAGATGACTGAAATCCAGGTATTGCTCTAGCAGACATTGCCGCCTCTCCATGTTACCCTCCAAGAACCTCCTTTAAATTGACAACTCCTGTAAAGATTATTTTTTTTAAGGAGGATGCTGTTTGCTACTGAACAATACAAAAGCATCTAAAATTATTTGTCCGACAGCTGAGATGATCAGGAATACAAGGCTGACTCAGATTATTTTTTTTTTAACAGCATGAACATACCCTTGTACCTCAAAATAACCGGTGCAGGCTCTTTAGTGGCACTGTCTTCTGTCCGCACGATGTACGCGGTGTTATTTTCCACTGCTTGATGATAATGCTCTGGAAGCTGTAGTAGCAGAGCTTATCCCAATGAGTAAACCCGAGTTACTGCTTGCTCGTAGCACTGCTTCCACCTGGGGGGGATTTGGTGTTGATGGTAACAAATAGATTAATGTTTATTGGAAGCACTGGTTTGTTTCTAGTTGTCTTTATTAAGAAGCATTTTATTGCTCCATAACTGGTGTAAAATGCACAAGAGTGTAAAATAAAATAACGACTTCAAAAGAAGTTCCAGTTTAGGTGGTTTTAAATGTTTTTAGCTGTTTCGCAGTGTTTTCAGCAGCTGGTGGAGGAGCCGTTTCACAACTCCAGTGAGAAAAGAAAGAACTTTTGCTTTTACTTGTAATTTTTACAATTGAAATATAGTATTACATTGCTTGAATATTTTAAACTACATAAATTTAAATTGAAAGTTTAAAAAGGCAAAAAAAAATTTGTTATAATAATCCTTTATTGCTTTTACTAGTAAATCTGTCAAGGTCAAGCCCCAGACTTGAGGCTTGTAAAATCTTCAAGGAATGGTTGGAACTGCAAGCCATCGACTGTAGTCTGGAGAGTATTTCAGCTGCATGTGAATTTTATTTGGCAACCTGTCACAGATAAACTTGTAGCTATAAAACTTGCTGCTGTTGGTAGCTAAAGAGAGAGCTGGCTTACAGGTACTTCATTTTGGACCTTTTTTTTTAACTCTAGGGATCTGAAAATGTAGTGTTTGGCAGAGAGGTAGTTACCTATTCATTAGATTTTTGAGCAGTACAGTAAGTTCTGTACTTTGCAAGGTATTTCCTATGTCAATTGTAATTAACACATACTTGGAGCTGCTTGATTTTTTTTTACTGTAGTAAAGGCAGGAAAACACAAAGCAGATAAAGTATTTTTCATTTCAATACAAGATCTTTTTGTTAAGCTAAATTAATCATGAGATTTCCAGCTCGTAGTCAGTTTTAATTTGCCAGTAACTGGGATTTTACACCAAAACTGAGTCATATTTTTTCAGCCAGCTCCATCTGCTGGCTTTCTAGTAGTAAAACACAGAGGTGTAAGCAATGACCTCTAAAGATACTCAAGAATTGAGGCATCTTTAGTCTGTCTTCCCAAAACAGTGGCTAGTTGAGAATACCTAGCAAGTAATTAAGGATTAATCTACTAACTTTAAAGAACTTTTTACACGTTACCAGGAGTTTGAACAAAACCTCGTTGCTTTTTTCCTGCCAGTTGTCTTCAAAAGTGAAAACTAAAGTGCTTTTGGCCAGTGCTTTTATTTTTAAGTAGTTAATGTGTAGAATGCTTGTCAGAACAGAAGTATTTTAGGAGGAAGATTATTGACTTCAGAAACCGGACATGTTTTAGCAGTTTAATTCAAATTAAAATTTGTAACAAAGGAAAAATGGAACTAAATGCTTAGGCTCTTTACCATCAGTAATAATGTCATGATAGCTTTTGAGACTCTTGTTTTACTTAAATTAGTAAAGTCTGATGCATGCCCTTGCTTTATTTAGTTTTGCTGCAACTACATTGTTGTCCTTGTCTTTTAATGCTGCCACTCTTTGGAAGATGAGGACAAGGAAGCCTCCCTGCCCAGTAGAAAAAGTGTGGGTAGACAAACACAAATATGATGAAGCAGAGAGACTGCATTACGAAAGAGAAGCGATGCTGGCTGCCGCGGCCCCGGAGGAGTGCCAGGAGGTAGAGGCTGTAAACGGAGTCTGCAATGACGACTCTGTTGAAAGTGAATTCAAGGGAGACCTGAAGAGAGCAAGGAATGGAAAGAAACAGAGGAAACGGAAGCGTTCTCCAAAACCCAAAAATGCACCCTCCAAGTTGGACTCTGTTCTGAGTGGTTTGTTAGCTGACTGTGTGTGGTTTGACAAGCCTTTCTACGATCACGCCGAGAACGTGTACAGGAAAAAACTAGTGGATTGTCAGAACCAGGAGGCACCTGAGACTGCACTAACTGCTGAGCAGTCTCCTTTAGTGGCCAGGTCAAAAACCATCCAAGATAACCCTAAGCCAAGGATGCTTTCAGCAGCCCTGCCCTGCTCCCATGGTAGTCTGTCCGCCTGTCACCATGTTGTTCAGGGTGTCTGGGTCAACAAGCTTGACTTTGATAAGGCCGAGGAGGTGTTTATTGAAAAATCTCAATTCTTTGTTCCTCCAAATGTCCTAACGATCCCGTCTGGGTGGTCAGATGCAGGCAACGTTGGGCTGAGGACGCCGGACGAGGGCTATGTTACAGCCCTGCCTACTCCTGCTACGCCAGGCTTAGCTCCAGATGTCGTTGCTGAATCTGCTGCTTCCCTCATTACCAGTTTGCCCAGCTCCCTCCACCAGACAGTCAACGGTAAGCCACAGATTTCAAGCTTACAGGCTCTCATGTCAGAGGTGTGGTTAGAGAAACCTCTCTACGACGATGCTGAGAAGAGCTTCTATGAGAACATGTTTGATGGACACCCGTCGGGCAAAGTCAGACAGCAGCAACGCGGCTGCCCCGAAGCGTTGAGGAACCACCATGAGGACGGGAAGAGCCACAGTGCTGAAAAGCAAACGAGCCTCAAACCCGTGGAGATGGCCACCGACTCTCTGCTTCCCAGGGATGCTGAGCAGCCTCCACCTACCTGCTTTTTTCTGCATGAGGACAGCGAAACTGTGTGGCTTCATAAGCTGACATATGACAGTGCTGAATCACGATACTATGCAGCTGAGGCTCTGAAAATGGCAAGAAAAGGAGAGAGTACAGGGAGGCAGGAATCTGCAGTAATAAAACCTTCCCAACCACCTGCTTGTGCTTCAAGTGTACCTGCGCCAGAAACGAAGTAGGAGAAGTTTATTCTGGGGTAACACTCACACATGCAAAACTGCCGGGTCAGGATTGAGCTGAAAGAATTTGCATGTGTGGAAGACGGGCGTCCTTTGTGTCTGCAGGACGTTAGGGAGGTGCTGCTCCTGAGCCAGGGAGCCTGTTTGTGGACAGGATTAACTGGGGGAAACTCCTTCAAGAAACCCCCTTCTCCTGATTGAATGCTGGTGGCTAAAGGTAGCATTTGTGTGGTGCCAGAGGTTCAGGGCTGGGAGTTGAGCTAAGGTTTGATCCCCTCTTTACATGGGGGAAGCCCAGGGCCATGCTTCTTTCTGTATTCCTATTAAAAAGCTGTAAAAGTGAGAGGTTGGGAGGGAATAATCACGTGTTTTAAACAGGCCTGTAGAGGATGCAGTGTTTTGTCTGATTTGAGACATTAAAGCAGTGCTGCTTTGCTGGGTATTTCTGTTAAAATGCCGGAAGGTCCTTTGGAGAAGCGTTTGTCCCCAGTCCTGCAGAGCACGTAGGCTGTTCACTGAGCTCTGTGCCAGCCATGACTACATTTGAGCTTGAAGACTTAGGGATGACAGCGAAATACAATTTAGGGCATCGGTCTGGCGTGAGCATGTGCTGTGTTTGCTTCATTGCAGGCGAAAGTTGCCTTTCTCATTTGTTAGACTGCTTGGTCTGGAAGCTGCTGTTAATTTTGGGACACGACTAGCTGGATTGCAGCTTGTTTTGATGTGCGTGTATGTCGCTGGGCAGGAAGGAGTTCAATCTCAAATTGTCGATGACCTTCACGGTTGTAACTTGCAGTTATAAATCAGTTTACAGGCAGAAACAGAAATGCTGAACCCTGAAGTCTGCTGCTCTAACGCCCTGGGAGCTTGTCCGAAGGCCAGAGCATAGATGTTATTTTGCAGTGCCAAGGTAGAGGCTGATGTTCTTGGAAAAAAGGCTCTTAGAGTGTCTGTCCTTATTTCTGTCATTCTGATCCTTGAATTTGTCAGGATTTTATTGCAAAGGTTTTAAGATCTTTACATCAAGTGATACAGGGTGTTACAGACAAGCTTTAGAGCAGACATGCCTTTCACCCTGTCCTATTTGGGGTAATTTTCTCTTTAGTTGAACAGAACTAGATGTTTGGTCATGCTTTTCACCATTCCCCAGGAAAGTCTGTGTGTCCTTGTGAAATATGTGGCGAAAGTTTGTGTAACTGGCATTTTCTGTTAATAATAGAGTCTTTGGGGTTTGAGTGCTGTGAATGGCTTCAGTTTAGAGGACCTCTGTGGTGTGGTGGCCTCCGGTCTCTTCTGAATGGGTAGGTGAGAAGGGTGCTTGTTTTACAAAAGACTCATCTGTGTGGAAGAGTTTCTACGGGCGAGCTGCGGGGTTTTGAGCTGATGAGGAAAGGGTTTGCGGGTTGTTCTTAGTTGCTCTCTCCATGTTGCGTGGTGGAACCTGGTAACGGTGTGGTTTCGTTGTGATGCTCTATTCCTGCTTCCACCACCTCCTCAAACTGATGTTGGCTCTGTAAGCGATCCCCTGGCTCGAAGTAAGGGCACATCCTCTTCCTTTACTGTTATAAAGGCTCCATCATTTGTCTTCAAGTTAAAAAATAAAACAACCTTTGGAAGCTGCTGCACCGAATTAAAATAACACCATTTCACCACAGCATTGGGATGTTTTCTGCTGTTCCTTCGTGTAGTGACGGGTCTGTCCCTTGCATGTGTGTGTTGCTCGTGATTTTAATTTCTAAACAGATGCAGCAGCTTCCAAAAGGGCCTGTCTGCAGTTACCTGTGGTAAATTATGTGTGTGCCTGGATTCCTGGAGGCTGGTCAGGGTGTTCCTTACAGGAGGATTTGGTGGCGCATCTACTGAAGCGTGGTATGACCAGGTAGAGACACGTACTAGCCTGAAACAGCTGGCGGTTGCTGTCAACGCTGTTGAGTTGTGTTCAGGGAAGACTGAGCTACGTTCAGATTTGTCGGTTGTGGTGTCAGGAGTTGCCTGTCACATGCAGAGCTCTCCCTCGTAGTGTGGCACGTGCTGCTTGGAGCTGCGTATTCTTCAGTCTTTGGTTTCCCCGTGACCTTTTAAGAATTAAAAGCATTATTCCCTTTTTGATTCTTGTACACAAGACACCTTAGCAACAGATTCCCATGTGTCTAGCGTGATCTAGAAAATCCTGCTCTGAAAGCTGTTTTGCTGAAGAAGGTACAGAGGAGCTGATTTATTCTGTCCCCACTTAGTGTTCTGTTGCTCAGTGCGGGTCAGGCTGGGCAGACGGGTGGGTGATTAGGCTGTCCTGCTTTCTTAATAGGATCCTGTTTACTTAAAGCTTTCCACCTGAGGGGAAACCGTCAAGCAGAGAGCTGCAGGCAGCTCTATGGGGGA